AATTACAAAGAGAAAATCTCAACAGAAATCTCATCCATATTGGTGAGATTTTGCTGGACTTATGTGACTCTCTTCACGCTCTCTTTCTTTTTTTCTTTCTAACACGACTTTGTATCTCATATCACTTTCATGCTTTATTATTTTACTCATTTATTTTGATATCTTGTATAATTTTTATTTCCATTACGTATATTTAACGTGATCTTTATTTTATATATTTTTTATTATGGTTATTTTATGTATGTATACATTTATTCTTTCATTTTGTTATCTTGTGAATTTGATTTTTCAAAGGTTAAATGCTTCCATAGTTTGCACTTGCAAATAATTTATTTGTTCTCTCTTTTTATTTGTCAATGTTTATTCTTTAATATTAATAAAATTATTTTATTTTCTAATAGTTTATTTGTTGATATTGAATTATTTTGAATATTATTAATAACTTTATAAAATACAATTAGTATTTTTTCGACAATGTTTGTATCTTCCATAGTTCGATATGTTGAAGCTCGGATTAATTTGCTCGTTTAATAAATCTAAAATCCTAAATAATTTGTTAGTGATTAACTCATTTGGCATAACAATGAGTTGATTCATAAATTTTTAGAGGATTAATATACAAAATATTTTTTTTTTCATTTATTGTCCTTGATATTAGTTATTTTGTTACGTTTATTAATGTTTCATTCAAACATAATATTATAACTACAAGTATATAAAAGTCTCAATAAGTTTTAAAAAGTCCATTATGAAAGTCTTAAAAAGTCACTAATAGAATTCTCTGAAAGTCTCAACAAATCCACCAAAGTCATGAAAGTTTTACATAGTCCACAAAAGTCACCAAATTTAAAAAGTTTTAAAAAGTTCTTAAGAATTTCAATTGAATACAACCCCCTTAGGCATAATAAAACAACTTAGGCAAAATTTAAGAACATTTAGGCAAAGCAAACGAAAATACTTAGGCACATAATTCAAATTAGGCACTTATAAAACAAAATGAACAAATAGTACACTTCGACAATTCAAAACAATTGAAGCACTTAGGAATAATTTAATAAAGCAAGAACACAAAATAAGAATTAAGAAGACGAGGACATCTTCTTAAATTTCTTTTTTTTTTCCCCAAAACATAGATTATATTATAAATCAAAATGCACAAATGTGCGAATACACAGCAGCCAACGGCTGAATACTCAGCAGCCAACAGCTGAAAAAGTGGGAGGACAGGTCAGAAGACCGCCTAGAGTCCCGACTAGCAACGCTATAATAAAGCTCGCAACTAAACTAACCAACTAAAACAACTCGAACAACTAAAACAACTAAAAAGACCGCAACACGGGAATACCCGAGTGTCGGATCCCAACAGGATAATAAATGTGACACCCGGGCTCACAGAGGCCAAACAGCCCAAACCAAAAACACGAACCTAAACACAAAACACGAGCAAAAAACAAGAAACAACCTAAAGAAACAAAATCAATGGAGCCCTCCCCCTACGAACAAACAGATCTCAACCAGCAGTGGACGATCGACACAAGAAAGATCCCAGCCCGAGAATCCGCTACCGAAACTGCATACTGCCTATACAGTAGAAGAAATCGAGCCCCGAACTGATCCTAGAATCGACCCATCATCAACCGAAAGAGCCACGACCGACCTTCACCCAGCCCCACCCGAACTCGACGAGCCCGAAAGAACCTGGTCCCCCGCCGCCTAACACCACTAGGCAGGCGGGATCGCACAAAGGTTAATCGCACCCTCAACCCCATCCACTGCGACAGCCAAGCCGCAGCAATCGGAGCCCCGGCCCCCCCTCTGTACGAACGTCACTCCATACAAACTCAGAGCTCCGACGAGCAGAATCACAGCCCCACCAGCGCAGGAAAGCTCGCCGGAGAAGCACAACCCAATTGAAAAAAAAAAGTATCAAAATTGAAACCGACAAACCTCCACGGAGCTGCTCCCACCGGCGGTCGAGATGACAAGAACCACCTGCAAGACACCGCGCCTGGAAGCTACCGACGCCAACCAAAGCCACCTCTGCCGCCAATCGAACGGACCCCAATCGCGAAGCACCCGAGTCGCAAATGGAGCACACTTACCAGGGGGGCCAGGGAGTCAAGGACGACCCCTGGCCGAGACGATGCCGTCGTCAAAGGAGGCGAAGCGGGCGATTTAGGAGGAAGAGCAGGGAAGCGAATTTGGGGGTAGGGTTTTTTCTTTTTTTGTATTCTTATTGAAAATTGAATTTTTTTTCATTATCTTAAATAGACGAGTACATCTATTGATTTGTAAAATTTTAAGAAAATTAAATAGACGAGTACATCTATTTACTTCGATTTTTGGATTAAACAAGACAATACGAAGTCGAGCTAAGAAATAAAATGCAAATGAAGCCACGAAAAACGGGAAAACTAGGGGGGAGCAGGGCACTAAGGAAGCCCTAAGCTCCAATCCCTTGACAACCAGCGACGACCCACCACTTACCGATAGAGAACTACTCACCAGCCCCATGTACGCAAGAAAAATGGGGGGTGGGGGGGAGGGGGTAGGAGAAAGGGAACTCACTTTTACTCCAACTTCTGCCCGGCAGAAGTCGGAGCACGCCGCCCAGACCCGTCGTTGAGACGCCGAAAGACCTCACGCAGTCGAAACCCCGCTGGAACATCGAAGCACGACGAAGCCCCAAACGACCACGAAATCCCCTCTCGACGAAAGACTGGGGCCCAGACCTGCAACCACGAAATCCCCTCTTCACAAATTAGAGGAAGATCGATGCCAAATTCGAGATTTAGGTTTCGAGAAAATGGGGGTTTTTTACTTGTGACAAGAAAAATGGTAATGTGATAATTATACGCCATGTCTAGATATGTCAAAACGGGGGCCTAGGCCGGCCCGCCCCTGCCCCGCCTAATAGACGAGTGGGTTGGTATTTTAAAGGCCCATCAAAGAGCGGACCTAATTGGAGTAGCCCGCGCGGACCACGGGTTTTGGCGGCCCAGACGGGTCAAGGGCGATCCCGCCATTAAAAAAAATAGTTTTGAATTTAAGTATTTAATACAAATACGGATAATTGTTATTTTAGTACCTGTACTATGGGGTAATTGTGAATTTGGTACCTATTCTTTATTTATTGCAAAAATACAACCTCATCTTTACGTTTTTGCAAATTTGGTACCTAATATTGACGTCAGTTTGCATGACTTTACGTTTCGGGCTCGTTTGGGCTCGTTCAAACTCGTAATTGAGTTCCTTTTTTTTTTCTACGCATCGCCAACGAACCCGTCTATTTAATGATGCTTGTATGAATAAATTATTCTTGAAATACTATTCTCCCAAAGCTTATGATCATCATACCAAAGACGTGCTTCGCGCGACTTCGCGTTTTAGGCCCGTTCGAGCTCGTCCAAACTTGGAATTGAATTCCGCTTTTTTCTACATGTCGCCAACGAACCCTTCTACTCAACCATGGGTTCCTGGTCATTTTTTGGGCTAAATTTATTCCTCACGGGGCTTCCAAACTGCACACTAAAAACAAGAAGAAAAACAAAAAAACACAGGACACAATAAACTACAAAAATGAATAAAACCCAACGAAAAGTCTTAAAACGGGAAAAAATAGTGAATAAAAATAAGAAAAAAATGTAAATAAATAGAATAAACACTTGCAAAAACTCCATCACTACTAGTTCAAATTCTCCAAAAAGCTTAACGTTTGAATTGACAAGAAATTAAAAACTAGTAGTGATGGAGTTTTGGCAAGTGTTTGTTCAATGTTTTTACGTTTTTTCCTATTGTTTTGTCACTATTTTTTCCCCATTTCAGAACTTTTCGTTGGGTTTTATTCATTTTTGTAGTTTATTGTGTCGTGTGTTTTTTTTTGTTTTTCTTCTTGTTCTTAGTGTGCAGGTTGGAAGCCCCGTGAGAAATAAATTTGGCCCGAAAATTGAACGGGTAACCATGGTTGAGTAGAAGGGTTCGTTGGCGACATGTAGAAAAAGGCGGAACTCAATTCCATGTTTGGACGAGCTCGAACGGGCCCAAAACGCGAAGTCGCGCGAAGCACGTCTTTGGTGTGCTGGTCATAAGCTTTGGGAGAATAGTATTTCAAGAATAATTTGTTCATATAAGAATCATTTAATAGAGGGTTCGTTGGCGACCCGTAGAAAAAAACAAAACTCAATTCCGAGTTCAAACGAGCCCAAAACGTAAAGTCATGCAAACTGACGTCAATACTACGTACCAAATTTGCAAAAACGGAAAGGTCAGGTTGTATTTTCGCCATAAATAATGAATAGGTACCAAAATCACAAATTACAATTACCCTACAAATACACAATAGCACTTTACGCTGCACTTTACACAATAGCAATTTAATTTTTTTCTTAAGTTTTTTTTTACATCACAAGTTCACAATTCACAAATCAGAAATCACAACACAGAGACAGTCCTTTTTCCCCTTGCTAAGCTAACTCTAACCCCAACTCTCATTTTCTCAAGCGGCAGCCGGCGGTAATCCTCTGAACCTCTGCAGACCGACCGGTGACCGGTGTGCGGCGGCAACCTTGGAGCGGCGACGGCGAGCGGCAAGGAAGCGGCGGATTCGAGCGACGAGAGGCGAGCATGCTAGCGGCAGAGCAGTGACTCCAACTCCAAGCGGCAGCGGCAACATCGGCAAGGAAGTTTCTTCCGGTAGTGATGGCTGAACCTAATTCTCAAAATGAACTGTGATTTATGATTTGAACTGATTTCTGGATTTTGGTTTATTTAATTCTGAATTCTGAAAATGAAATGGTTAAACCTAAATTCTCTAATTCTGAAATGAATGTGAAGGCTGAAATGAAGGCTAGAATGTGATGGCTGAAATGAATGTGAAGGCTCAAATTTGAACTGTGATTTATTGAATGATTTAGAGATTGATTTTTGTTCCAAATGACTGAATTCCTAAACTCCTCGCAAATATTTATTTTGTCATAAATCTACAAACGAACTGACCGCCTATGAAAGTGAAAATTAACAGCTGCAGTGTAGATGAGTTGGACAGCGTGGATCCTGGCCTCCTATGGTAGGATTTGACCCCAATAGTTTGTTAATCGAATTAATTGCATTTCCTTTTGTTGGCGATTCAAATTTGTGTGTGGATGCTGGTTGGATGTCTTTAATTTTTCTGAACTAGAAATATACTAATTTGGTGTATCTCAGAAGAAGTTTGACATGTATGATTCTCAACTTGAGTCATGGACAGCTCTAAAAAATTATGCGGTTCTTAGTTTGTAGCCGGAGAAAAAGAGAATCATTTTTTGTTTTCCTTTTGGGCAAAAGAGTTATGTAGTTTTCACTTTAAAGTGTTGTGTCTTTATTTAGCAATCTACCTTGTTATTGATTAAAAAAAAAAATAGTCACCGGCACAATCCAACTGAATTTCTCAATCCAAAAGGATTATTATTATTATTTTTTTTAAGAATTTATCCTTGAACTTTGTCATTACTCATTAGAATCTCCTTTCTTTATTATCTTTTCTGTTCATTGTGCGTCTGGCGATGAGATCTAGATGTCTGTCGGAAACATGAAATCATGACTGTAGCGCCCCGTTCGATTTATAGAATTTTTCGAATTATTCTATTTATCGAATTTTATTTATGAGATTATATTTGTTTTATGGGTCGCGATGTCTACTTAAATTATATATTTAAGTACTCAATCGTTTTATTGTAAAACATTCATCGTTCGGCGATTTCGGTCTAATCGCTTAAATCGGATCTAACCCGTTCGTTTATTAGGATTTTTCCGGATATTATATTATTATTTATTTACTTATATTATTTGTCTTTGCTTTATTTATTTTAATTGCCAGATATCTTATTAACTGCTCGTCTCTTTTATCTGCTTATTATTGAACTGCCATGTGATGTATTTTATGTGATTATTATGTGGTTAATTTTATTATTTATATGTGTGAATTATTAGAGTTATTTTGGGTTAGAATTTTAATTGTTCGGTGATTTTCGGTTTAATCGCGAATCGATTTTTAATCCGTTTCGATTCGTTTACGAGCCATTTCAACCCGAACTATGGATATTTATTTTGACCCAATTGATATTCTTTTCGATCCATGGGCCCAAATTATTTTTTTTATTTTTTTTTGAGAAAATTACCTGCTACACGTCTCCAAATCTTATTATAGCCCATTACACGAATATAAATCTTTTCATTCATCTTTACGAATCTTAATCCATTAAAACGAATCAATTATTTTTCTATTCCAACAAAGAACACGATATCTCATGCTATAGCATTTAACATGTTGCTCAACTAAAGCAATAATAAAATGACTAAAGAAGGCAACAAAATCATTATTAGAATGATTCATTACCCTTTTGTTTCGGCAGTGGAAGAAAAATCATCTCCTGCGACATAATTCCGTGGATAGGCTGTGGCAGGAGAGCTTGAGTGATTTCTGTAAAAAATAAAAAACTGAAAGTTGTTTTCTAGAGTTAATTTGATGTTCATCACTTCATCTATAAATTGATTATGGTTATTGATTGGTTTTTTCTTGTCTTATTTCTCGTTTATATTCGGTTTATTTTTACATTTGCTTTCTTTGCCTATTTGTTTTTTTTTTTTTTGTGATTTATTAGTAAAAAGTAAAATAATAAACTTAACATTAACCAAAAATTCTAAATTAGTTTTTAATAAAGTATAGAAATAATGTACACTACAACATAAGTGGTTTTTTTGTAACATTGTGCTTGTAACACTTTATAAATATTTAGCTTGTGTATCATAAATTTAGAGTATGTATTGTTATATAATAAACTGAAAATAAATCATATATATAAGTTTACATTTTTGTATGCCTAATAGTATTAATTTGATAACTATAATAAACTATACATATATTTTTTTCTGTATTTGAAAATAAACTGTATATAAATTATTCTTGTAACGGTTTATAAACATATAATAAAAGAATAAACTATATATAAATTTACAGTAGGAAAACCAGTTTGTAATCCTATGATAAACTAAAAGTAAATTAGATATATAATATGTGATATCTTTTCCAGATCTTGAGTGGTTTTCTATTTTGTTGGTTTTATGGTTTTAGTTTTTAGAAGAAAAAAAAAAGTCTTAATTAATAAGGATAATTGACACAGTTTAGGGAACTATAAGAGAGAAAAAGGATCAGTGTTTTGATTTGATTTCTCTTTCTATATAATTTCTACTTAATTAATTAGATTTCTTAATATGAATTCGTTGAAGGTTGTAATTAATTATTAACTACCTCCAATGACGTTAAGTGGAAATAAGTTTCACAGCTCGTGAAATTGGTAAACTATGACAAAGGAATCGTTTACATGTACTTCAACTTTTTTTTTTCAGCTAAAGTCAATTTCTGGCCCATTTCCTTGATTTAATTTAGGCCCAAAGAAATGAATTATTTGGCCCTGACTTTTCTGAAGCCCTAAATCTTTTACCCTTTTAATTCTCCAAACCCGTCGCCACCATGAGTATACAGATCGAGAAAAATCTAAAATCTCATCTCTCAACATCAGCTCGCCATCACCTCTCGACTTCATAATCAACCATCGCCGGCGACCCAACCCTCCGACGAGCCTCCTCTATCTACGAGCGACCACAACACGCCGGAAGGGAACCGGTTCGAGCAAACCACAACAACACAAAGCCGTCGTGAGCCTCCTTTCTCGCCGGCAACGACCCACTGCGAGCTACCTCTAAGAGCCGCGATTCGACCTCCGAGCTCTGACCTCCAGGCGTGAGGACGAACCCGACCGAAGTTCAGATTCTCGGCGAGCCAGAGCCACCCGATTTTCCGGCAGACCCGACCAGCGACGAACCTGGAGCATCAATTCCGCGAGCCCCGCGCCCCGTTGGGCCCCTGTTTGCCGTCAGTAAAAGTGCTTCGAGCACTACCCATTGAGTTATTCAAGAGGCCATCAATTTATAACAAATCTATAAAATAATATGGACGTAATTTAAACATAATTCAAAGAGAGTTTTGCGAGTTGGGAGTGTAAACATGGAGATGTTTGAAGCTGCTTGGAGAACAGATAGCGGGAGTGTACTAATATTTATTTATTTATTGATTAATTTTGTAACATGATAGTTCTCTAAATTGAGCTAAGTCCTGATACTCTCGATTGTGGGGTCCGGGGGGGCTGCTGTGGGTAACTTACAGCAGCCCCAGCTGTAAAATTCCAACCCTTGGATTAAGTATAAATAAAAATAGATCCAAGGGTTAAAAATCATCTTACATAAAAAACACAACTCCTCAGCTATTTATCTCACATAACCTCAACAACCTTACCTTCTCCACACCCCCACTCACTCTCTCTCAGTAGCCATGGCTGCTGCACTTACCTTCCTCGCGCTCGCCCCATAAACCTTATCCGCCCACCACCCTTCCTCCACGGACGCCGCCGCCGGCGTCGGCCGCAGCGTCGGCCGCAGCGTCGTCTCCGCTTTCTTCGCCTCTTCTATCAAACATTTTCCCAATCTCGTCCTCCGGCTTTCCTCCGCCGGCCTTCGCGCTAATCTAGCTTCTGGGTTCTTGAGAAACGTTGTCGTTTCGTCCGAGCTGGATGCGGATTTGTCCGAGGACGAAGGGCTCGATTTCTCCGCCGGCGAGGAGCCGAGATTCTCGCCTGATTTGAAGCTTTTTGTCGGGAATTTGCCGTTTAATGTCGACAGCTCTGAGCTGGCTGGGTTGTTTGAGCAGGCTGGGAATGTCGAAATGGTTGAGGTTATATACGACAAGGCTACTGGAAAAAGTAGGGGTTTTGGTTTTGTGACTATGTCTACCGTCGAGGAACAAGAAACTGTTGTACAACAATTCAATGGCTATGAACTTCACGGCCGGAGCTTGAGGGTGAATTCTGGGCCCCCACCTTCTAAGAGTGAAAGCTCTTCATTCCGGGGGGCCAAAGTGGTTATGGGTCCAGGCCCGGATCCGGGTCTGGGTCCATTGACAGCAGCAACAGTGTTTATGTGGGTAATTTTTTGTGGGGGTCGATAATCTTGCTCTCGAAATCATTAGGTTATGATTCAAATTTCAATTAGTCATATAAAAAAAATATTTATGAAAATATTATTAGAATTTTATAGTCAGAGATAATGACCCTTTTTTTTTCTGGTACTTGTTTTGAAAAATCAGTATTGGAAGCTTAGGTTCTGAAAATTCAAAAGAATATGTCTCAGATGTTGTAGTTAACAGAGCAAAGCTTTCTGGAACAACTAATGGAGTTAGAATCAAGATATGGCAGGTAAGTTAGGTAATCACCATTTTACTGTTTTAACTTTTATTACAAGTTTTTTTAACACTTGTCTTATCTTTACTACAAATCAGGGTGGCTCTGGAAGTGCAAACAATATTAAATTCCACAATATAGAAATGCAAGGAGTGGAAAACCCGATAATTATCGACCAAAGTTATTGTGATCAAAAGGAACCGTGCAAAGAACATGTTAGATAGACAGTCACACGACATGCGGTTAATTTTACTGCAAAATAATGATTAATAATGATAAAATAGTGTTTTTTATCGTGTACAGAGTTCAGCCGTACAAGTGAAGAACATCGGACACAGAAACATCAAGGGCACTCGTAATTCAGATGAAGCCACCAATTTCAAATGCAGCAAAAGTCATTCTTGCCAGAGGATCACTCTGCAAAATGTGAACTTGATCGGGACAGGTAGCGAGAAATCCAAAGCCGTTTGTAATAACGTCCGTTTGCAGAACTTGGGAACGGTTTCACCAAATTGCCGTAACTAAACTTCTAAAGTCGAAAGGCGATTAGCATGTTTTGAATTTAGGTGTTTTTGTACATTTTCATGTGCAGACATAGGTAATTCGAAAAAATGATCACACCAAAGTCCTACATTAGAAGTTTATTGGTTTTTTTTTAATTCATTTTTCATTAAAAATATAAGAAATTAAGTGTAGTCTATCTGTTCTGTTGTAACATATAGATTCATTGAATAAAATGTTTTAATGGGTTGTGTTACTTGAAGTTTTCTTTAATTTTACACAAATTTGTGTCACTTGTTCATTATTCTTACTCTTCACATTACCTACAGCAAACAGAAAATCACTGTATCATTACAAGCCTGTAAACATCAAATCCTCCAAACAAGTGGCAATGTGCTACAATAAATAAATAAATAAATAAATAAAAAATACAAGAAATCAGAGTGAAGAACTAAGCCGGTCTGTAACTTTGCGTATCTTTTGAGATTCTGAGCAGCATCTCTAGTATTATCCGGCACAGGCAAGTTGCAAAGTAATGTGAGCCTTGAAGACGCAATCAGAGTTTTAGTATCGGTTTTAGAAGGATCGCATACATCAGAGCAACTTCCCACTTGTTAAGGCAATATGAGCTCGTATGCTTGCTAAGGCCTCAGATATAATTGCCGCTACCCCTCCATGAAGCATATGGTACTGCACAATCTCAAATTAGTTAATAATAAATTACCAATTATTATAATATGGCATTTAAACGATTAGTACCTGACAGCATTCTGGAGTGATTATGAGGTGGCCCGAAACTTTACTAGTTGAAACTTCGTCGACTTCGAAACCGATATCATAATTATACCCGATTATGATTGATTCTTTTTTTCTTTCGAACCAACTTGAATACAATTGTGTTCTTGGTTTTTGTTTGTTATGCTAGCCTTAGCAATTGTTACAACCAATCAATAGTTATAAAATCGGCTAACAGTATATGACAAATATAAAGTCTTTGCAAATTGTACACTTGTTAAGGCTTGAGAACAAAAGCTTGAACATGGTAAATAGAACTCTACATTCACCGGGGTATATTGACACAGCTTGAACATCCACAACACAAAATCTTTTATTCGAAACCACACTTAAAAATATTTCTGCTCACAGCTCAGCCTAGAACTCACTCAACTACCATATATACATAAGCTAAATTCACAAGCAAAAGAGGCTCTTTTGAACCAACACTCAAATCTTCAAAATTTCTCACAAAGTGAAAAGATTTTTTTTTTTTTTTTTGTGTGTGTGTTAGAAGCGTACACAATTCAGCTCAATAAGCAAAAGGGTATTGTGAGAGGTCTTCGAATCACTAAATAGACAGGCGTCACAAACGAAGACACGATTTTTATTTCCTTAATTCAAGAATTAAACCAAAAACAAGAACAAAATTGAACAATACGGATGACAAAATTGGGGAAAAAATAGTAAAATAATTCAATCCAAGCAGAGAATGCAGCAAGTCAAAATTAGAGAGCCGAACATAACCTTAATCTTTTATGGTTTATGCACAAAGAAGAATTAGAAAGGAAAAAAAAGAAGAAGAAATTGAAAGGAGAAAATCGACGGAGAAAAGGAGATTGCGAGAGCTTTGCCGAGTAAATTGATGAGCATGGAAAGAGAAAGTGCTTACTCATTGCTTTTATGTTTATCGAGTCCAACCATATTTCTTTATTTATTTTTAACCATTGGATTTTGGTTTAATTTATGTTAATGAAGGGTTGAGATTTAACTGTTGGGGCTGCTGTTAGTTAGCCACAGCAGCCCCCCTTTACCCTCGATTGTGCTGGTGCAATTTCTCAGGAAGATGTCAAGGATTGGACAGTGGATGTGTTTGCAGATGCATTGACACGGGCTGAGGAGACTGCCAAACATGGATCTAACTAAAAATGATAGCTGAACAACCCCATGGGCCCGTTATTTCTATGATCATAAGATGGCCTTTTGCTGCCCATTTTTTTCTGGCGATGGTCAATTTATTACATGGAAATAAAAAATCGTAGGTGAATAATGGAGTCAGTCCCCATTGCCGTTTCTTGTGGAAGAAATCAGAAATTGAGATGATTTTTATTTTCCTGGGAAAAATGGAAATATGATGCTAGATATGGATTTGCTGTTTTATTTAATTGAGTTATTGGGGCTTTAGGCCCATGTGGTAAGAATACCTATTGGGCTATGCATACGGCTTGAGTCTTTGTTTAGGTGGACATTGAGTTATTAATTAGGTTATCATTTGCTAAATTGAGATTTTAGGCCTTAGGAGGGAAGTTTCTTCTCCATTTGGATTAAAATTGTTTACTTTTCAATTTGATTAATCATATTTTAGTTTGTTCTTTTTCTTAAATGGCGAAGATTCAGTTTGAAATCGGATGAATAGGTGAATCGGTATCAGTTCCCGTAAGTGTTGGTGAAAAAGACAGGCTTTTAGTTGATTTTTCTTGTTTCTATAAATTCAAAATCTGCAAATGAAGCTTAAAAAGCAGAACGGAAGTTACAATATGAAAATGAAAATTAAAACCAAGATTGCTAAATTTTTTATTTCGTCTTCAATTTAGCTGAAAATCACATGAATTTATTTATATAATGAAAACACAAGACATAGCACGGCAAAAAAAATAAAAAAAATAAAAAAAAATAAAATAAAAGTAAAAAATTGATAGTAATTACTAATTCTTTGGGACTTTATCGATATGCTGGATTAAAGCAAGTCTTCTGCACCTTCAGAAGACCAAAAGTCCTAACTATATTACTAATTATCATAAAGTCTATACATTCTCAAAACAATATAGAAAATAAAATACCGAAAGGGAACTCACCTTTACAGGCAGAAGTCGGAGCACGCCGCCCAGCCCCGCCATTGAGACGCCGAAAGACCTCACGCAGTCGAAACCCCGCCGGAACATCGAAGCATGGCGAAGCCCAAACGACCACGAAATCCCCTCTCGACGAAAGGCTGGGGCCCAGACCTGCGACCACGAAATCCCCTCTTCATAAATTAGAGGAAGATCGACGCCAAATTCGAGATTTAGGTTTCGAGAAAATGGGGGTTTTTTTACTTGTAACAAGAAAAATGGTAATGTGATAATTATACGCCATGTCTAGATATGTCAAAACGGGGGCCTAGGCCGGCCCACCCCTGCCCCGCCTAATTGGCGAGTGAGTTGGTATTTTAAAGGCCCATCAAAGAGCGAGCCTAAATGGACTAGACGGCAGGGACTATGGGTTTTGGCGGGCCAGACGGGTCAAGGGCGAGCCCGCCATTAAAAAAAATAGTTTTGAATTTAAGTATTTAATACAAATACAGATAATTGTTATTACTATGGGGTAATTTTGAATTTGGTACCTATTCTTTATTTATATTGCAAAAATACCACTCGATCTTTACGTTTTTGCGAATTTGGTACCTAATATTGACGCCGGTTTGCACGACTTTACGTTTCGGGCTCGTTTGGGCTCGTTCGAACTAGTAATTGAGTTCCGTATTTTTCTACGAGTCGCCAACGAACCCCTCTATTTAATGATGCTTGTATGAACAAATTATTCTTGAAATACTATTCTCCCAGAGCTTATGATCAGCATACCAAAGACGTGCTTCGCGCGACTTCGCGTTTTGCGCCCGTTCGAGCTCGTCCAAACTTGGAATTGAGTTCCCTTTTTCTCTACATGTCGTCAACGAACCCTTCTACTCAACCATTGTTTCCTGGTCAACTTTCGGGCCAAATTTATTCCTCACGGGGCTTCCAACCTGCACACTAAAAACAAAAAGAAAAACAAAAAGACACAGGACACAATAAACTACAAAAACAAATAAAACCCAACGAAAAATCTTAAAACGGGAAAAAATAGTGAAAAAAAATAAGAAAAAACGTAAAAAAAAAATAGAATAAACACTTGCAAAAACTCCATCACTACTAGTTCAAATTCTCCAAAAACCTTAACGTTTGAATTGACAAAAAATAAAAAACTAGTAGTGATGGAGTTTTGGCAAGTGTTTGTTCCATGTTTTTACGTTTTTTCCTATTGTTTTGTCACTATTTTTCCCAGTTTTAGAACTTTTCGTTGGGTTTTATTCATTTTTGTAGTTTATTGTGTCGTGTGTTTTTTTTGTTTTTCTTCTTGTTTTTAGTGTGCAGGTTGGAAGCCCCGTGAGAAATAAATTTGGCCCGAAAATTGACCGGGTAACCATGGTTGAGTAGAAGGGTTCGTTGGCGACATGTAGAAAAAGGCGGAACTCAATTCCATGTTTGGACGAGCTGGAACGGGCCCAAAACGCGAAGTCGCGCGAAGCACGTATTTGGTGTGCTGGTCATAAGCTTTGGGAGCATAGTATTTCAAGAATAATTTGTTCATATAAGCATCACTGAATAGAGGTTCGTTGGCGACCCGTAGAAAAAAACGAAACTCAATTCCGAGTTCAAACGAGCCCAAGCGGGTTGGTATTTTAAAGGCCCATCAAAGAGCGGGCCTAAAGGACTAGCCCGCGCGGACCACGGGTTTTGGCGGGCCAGACAGGTCAAGGGCAAGCCCTCCATTAAAAAAATAGTTTTGAATTTAAGCATTTAATACAAATACGGATAATTGTTATTTTAGTACATGTACCAAACGAGCCCGAAACGTAAAGTCATGCAAACTGACGTCAATACTACGTACCAAATTCGCAAAAAAGCAAAGGTCAGGTTGTATTTTCGCCATAAATAAAGAATAGGTACCAAAATCACAATTACCCCATAGTACAGGTACTAAAATAACAATTACCCTACAAATACACAATAGCACTTTACACTAGCACTTTACACAATAGCAATTTAATTTTTTTCTTAAGTTTTTTTTACATCACAAGTTCAGCACTTTACACTAGCACTTTACACAATAGCAATTTAATTTTTTTCTTAAGTTTTTTTTACATCACAAGTTCACAATTCACAAATCAGAAATCACAACACAGAGACGGTCATTTTTCCCTTTGCTAAGCTAACTCTAACCCCAACTCTCATTTTCTCAAGCGGCAGACGGCGGCAATCCTCTGGACCTCTACAGATCGACCGGTGACCGGTGTACGGCGGCGACCTTGGAGCGGCGACGGGGAGCGGCAAGGAAGCGGCGGATTCGAGCGGCGACCGGCGAGCGACGAGAGGCGAGCAGGCTAGCGGCAGAGCAATGACTCCAACTCCAAGCGGCAACGGCAACGGCAACCTCGACAAGGAAGTTTCTTCCGGTAGTGATGGCTGAAACTAATTCTCAAAATGAACTGTGATTTATGATTTGAACTAATTTCTGGATTTTGGTTTATTTAATTCTGAATTCTAAAAATGAAATGGTTAAACCTAATTCTCTAATTCTGAAATGAATGTGAAGGCTGAAATGAAGGCTAGAATGTGATGGCTGAAATGAATGTGAAGGCTCAAATTTGAACTGTGATTTATTGAATGATTTATGGATTGATTTTGGTTCCAAATGACTGAATTCCTAAACTCCTCGCAAATATTTATTTTCTCATAAATCTACAAACGAACAGACTACCTATGAAAGTGAAAATCAACAGCTGCAGTGTAGATGAGTTGGACAGCGTGGATCCTGGCCTCCTATGGTAGGATTTGACCCCAATAGTTTGTTAATCGTATTAATTGCATTTCCTTTTGTTGGCGATTCAAATTTGTGTGTGGATGCTGGTTGGATGTCTTTAATTTTTCTGAACTAGAAATATACTAATTTGGTGTATCTCAGAAGAAGTTTGACATGTATGATTCTCAACTTGAGTCATGGACAGCTCTAAAAATTTATGCGGTTCTTAGTTTGCAGCCGGAGAAAAAGAGAATCATTTTTTGTTTTCCTTTTGGGCAGAAGAGTTAAGTAGCTTTCACTTTAAGTTGTTGTGTCTTTATTTAGCAATAAATTTATTTTTGAACTTTGTCATTACTCATTAGAATCTCCTTTGTTTATCATCTTTTCTGCTCATTGTGCGTCTGGCGATGAGATCTAGATCCCTGTCGGAAACTTGAAATCATGACTCCACTGATTATACCAATATTGCTTGTATATTCTACTAGTTATCATCATATAATTGCTTTATTCAATACTTTTGGGCAGAAGAATTTTTTTTGAGGTTCTCTATTCTCTAATGCTTCCGGCCATCATTATAATCGATTTAATAGATATGAGCCTTCTTCTGCTGTAAGCATGCGTGGAATTCATCAGAAATTTTCTCCCTTTTTTTGCCGTGGACTGCATAAATTGTCACATGATGGTCCGAGTGAAACCTTGAAAAGGAAAATTGCCGAGTTAGAGAAGAAGAGGAAAACAAGAAATCCAAGGAAGAATAATTTGCTTGTGGAGGTTCCTGAGTCCAAAAAGTTCCTTGATATTGCAACCATGCCAATGATACTCACTGTCCCACAACAGCTCTCTTTGCTAAGCTCCTCATGATGGTATGTAATGAGAAACTTTTTCATTTTCTGTTGTTCTTTTCTGTTTCGGTTGATCTTTGCATCATTCGGTTAAGAATCAAATCTATGAGAGATGTGAATGAGTGGTACTTTAATTGTAAATTGCAATTTCGAATATAGATTACATGACTTGAAAAAAGAACTGAAATAAACTGAAAATTAGAAAAAGAGCCATATAAAATTATAGATAGAAATTGAAAAACAAAAGACCCTGAAAAAAGCTATAAGCAGACTAAAAAGGAGTTGAAACTTTGAAGAAAAAAAAACCTTGAAAACTGCACAGATTTGAGAAACTAAGATTTGGATTGAAGTTATGCCAAATTTATTTCCTGCAGTATGATGACTCCACAGAACAGGAAAGTATTGAGCGAACGATAAAGGAGACCCCTGGCCTAGGCAGGGTAAGGATGCTCACTCGTGAAGAGTGGGATGCAATTCAAGAAGTGAGACCAAGGACACCATTTGAATCTAAGATAGCACGCCCCAATGCAAAAATACAAACCGGAGAGCCACTTCATAGAGTAAGATTTGTAATATCTTTTTCTTATCCCCTTCTCACTTTTCACTTTATGAATTGTTGTAAACCTCAGGATAAATCAATTTGAATATCTCAGGACAAAATTTAAGTTAGAGACATCTCAAATTTGCATAGACTACAATTGGAAAAAAGATGTTTATTTCCTCTATTGGATTATATACAACGTCCCTCAACCTCAAATCGATTCAATTCAATCGTCTCGTTTTATTATGCGCCTCCGTCTGAACCAAATGGTAATGAGTGCTTCGAGCACTACCCATTGAGTTATTCAAGAGGCCATCAATTTATAACAAATCTATAAAATAATATGGACGTAATTTAAACATAATTCAAAGAGAGTTTTGCAAGTTGGGAGTGTAAACAGGGAGATGTTTGAAGCTGCTTGGAGAACAGATAGCGGGAGTGTACTCATATTTATTTATTGATTGATTGATTAATTTTGTAACGTGATAGTTCTCTAAATATAGCTAAGACCTGATACTCTCGATTGTGCTGGTGCAATTTCTCAAGAAGATGTCAAGGATTGGACAGTGGATGTGTTTGCAGATGCATTGACACGGGCTGAGGAGACTGCCAAACATGGATCTAACTAAAAATGATAGCTGAACAGCCTCATGGGCCCGTTTGGTTTGTAATGTTTTATTTCTATGATCATAAGATGGCCTTTTGCTGCCCATTTTTTTCTGGCCATGGTAAATTTATTACATGGAAATTGAAAATCGTAGGTGAATAATGGAGTCAGTCCCCATTGCCGTTTCTTGTGGAAGATATCAGAAATTGAGAAGATTTTTATTTTCCTAGGAAAAATGGAAATATGATGTTAGATATGGATTTGCTGTTTTATTTAGTTGAGTTATTGGTGCTTTAGGCCCATGTGGTAAGAATACCTATTGGGCTATGCATACGGCTTGAGTCTTTGTTTAGGTGGACATTGAGTTATTAGTTAGGTTACCATTTGTTAAATTGAGATTTTAGGCCTTAGGAGGGAAGTTTCTTCTCCATTTGAATTAAAATTGTTTACTTTTCAATTTGATTAATCATATTTTAGTTTTGCTCGTTTCTTAAATGGCGAAGATTCAGTTCGAAACCGGTTGAATAGGTGAATCGGTACCAGTTCCCGTAAGTGTTGGTGAAAAAGACAGGCTTTTAGTTGATTTTTTTTGTTTCTCTAAATTCAAAATCTGCCAATGAAGCTTAAAAAGCAGACCGGAAGTTAAATATGAAAATGAAAATTGAAACCAAGATTGCTAAATTTTTTATTTCGTCTTCAATTTAGCTAAAAATCACATGAATTTATTTATATAATAAAAACACAAGACATAGCATGGCAAAAAAAAATAAAAATAAAAATAAAAACAAAAATAAAAAAATAAAAATAAAAATAAAAAACTGATAGTAATTACTAATTCTTTGGGACTTTATCGATATGCCGGATTAAAGCAAGTCTTCTGCACCTTCAGAAGACCAAAAGTCCTAACTATATCACTAATTATCACAAAATCTATACATTCTCAAAACAATATAGAAAACAAAAATATCGACATTCGAGTTTTTAGTGTAACCTATAATCACCACGGATGATGTGTATAGATATATGTATACTCATCCAATAATATTTGGTAATTAAGAGTATTTAGATGGACAAATTCACAAATAGTTGACATTAAAATTTTAAAAAACATTGCGTAGAGTGATTAAACAGAGGATAACGTTAACAGTGGAATAATTATATATTTAGATATAATTCACAATATATATATAATTATAAAATATATAAATACATGATAAGAAATGTGAAGTCCAAATAGACTCAAGCTTATAAATGAGGTTGAAATCATCCAAACTCTTGTAGCTCAATGAGCTAAAGTATTTTGCACGCAAGAATGACATATTTTTTTTCCACATATAAGATTAAAAGAATTTAAGGATTAGAGGACCACAACTATTTAGTGGGCGATTGAATATGGATTCTACAGTAAAAAAACCAATCAAAACTCAAATTTAACTCAACTTTAACTCAACTCTACTATCTCCAGTATTATTAATATAACTAAATAATATCAACCAATCATTTTTACACATCACATCAACTTTAATTCACTATTCATCTACTCACATAATTTTAACTAACCATCACTTCTGATGAGTCTACTTCCAGATCTGGAGTAAACCAGTGGATGTGAGCTCAGATCTGCTTGAACCGCCTTCGAATCGTTGCTAGACCGCGAGATACCTGCAAAAACTTAACGCCGGAGGTGTTTCCGGCGTAGAGCCTCTGACGCTCAAGTCAGTATGAGAGTGATGAAGAGATGCTGCGCAGCAGCTATGGGGGAGAATGGGAATGAATCAGAGTTAGGGTTTGGAGTTACCTCACCTCCTTTATATAGGAGTGAATACTTACCTGAAGTACCCAGAATGCCCAAGTCGGTGGACCTAAAAGGTCCAAAATGCCCCGGTCGATTCGTCTCCCCTTACTGCTGAGTCACCACCAGATTCCTTCTTATCTTTGGGAATATATAGAGCTTTGAGAGCCCTGAGTAAGCTATAAGTGTGATGAGTCGTCATCACATCTTTGGTCTTTGAGATACACGGAGTCGACTTCGAGAGTATGAGGTTTCGGAGGCTACGATTGGTTAATTCTCTCGAGTGGCAGTCGTCGTTGGAGAATCATCTTGGCGAAGTCGATTTTTAGGAATCGACTTAGAATATCCAGGTGCTCGGAAGCTACTCTCTTGTTGCTCTTCATATACAAAGGTCGACTAATGGAAGTCGACATACCGAGGTCGACTTGTGAGAGTCGACTGGACAGGTTTCTGCCCCTTCCGGATCGTTCCTGGTAGAACCGTCTTGTGAATGTCGACTTAAGCATGTCGACGGGGTAATGTCGACATACGAGTAATTAGGGCAGTTCACCGGTCGGGTAAGAAGCCTCTGGACCGGGTTATCCTTATATGGCTATATCATCTAGTCCCCCCCCAAAATTACTCTAAGTCGGTAAGGGCTTAAGAGTAACTTTGGTGATTGACTTCTTTTATTAGCTATACTCGTCATTTGTTCCTCGACATCGAGGCCCTAGCCTTGTAGCCCTTCAGTGCTGTTGTGAGGTCTCATCATTATCTTCTGGATAATTCTGACAGCCTGACATCTTTTTTAAATTTCGAAATTCGAATCTGTAATTATCACATCACTTCAAGTCCGCCGCCTCGCATTCCGTGCTTCGCTAGGGGCCGTCAGATCAGATCGTGATCTAACGGCTGGTAATCATTTACCTCCTTTATAAATATCTATCATTTCTTCGAAATGTTACTTTTCCGCACTCTTGCTCTCTGAACCTTCTCAAACTTCTCCGGTGCTCTCCATGTTTTCTGCTTTCCGGCGCTTCTTTCTCTCCGGCGACTTCAGATCTTCAGAGCTTTCCGACAACAATCATGTGTAAGTGTTCTAATTTCTTAACTTTTGCTGCTTCTCTTTTTGTTTTTTGTAGATTTTCTGGATTCTTCTGGGTTTCAAAACTTGTGTTCTTGGTGTTCTTTGAATGGCTTTACACGAGTTATGTTAGATCTTCTTTGCTTGAGTTTCCCTTTAGATTTCTTGTTTATTCCAATCTTGCCTCCTGTCGACTTCTGGTGCCAAGTCGATTCGCGTTTTTTAGGTTGGTTTAGGCTTGGTTCCTCCTGACCCCCTCCGCTCCTGCTCGTCCCTCGCTATTAAGACGAGTGAAGTATTCTCACGACTTCCTTCGTTTCGAAACCATTTTTCCATGATTATCCTGTGGCTCGACTTACGTCGATTTCCACAAGTCGATTTATTCTTTTTTGGTTATGACCTTTCTCGCCTCACACTAAATTCACCTTTACTGATCTCGACTCTTCTTTTTTGTTTTTTCTAGATTCCGGCACTGATTCTTCACCCGATACCATTGAGCGCTTGATCGACGAAGGTCCTCAGTCGTCTGATTCTGTGCAAGTAGTCGGTTTCAAACCGGCCGATCACTCACCGAATTCTCATTCGGATGTATCTTCTTTCGGCATTGACCAGGACGCTTACAAACAAGCGTGAATGTCGGGGGTCTTGGCTGAAGATCCCTAGTCTTCCGGAGTCAGAGAGTCTCCTCGTCTCGACCTCATTCCCCGAGGTATTCCCCTTAGGATCTTAGATTTTCCTGTATATAGAACAAGTCGTTCTTTTCCCATAATCGCTCCTCTTCTCGAGGCTCGAGATGTTGTTTCAATAGCATGTCCTTTAGCTAAGTTAGTTGTTTTAAATCCTTTTTGTTATGCCTCTGCAGCCGAGGTCGAGGGCTTTAGGGTGTACAGCGGTCTCCCCGCCGACTGGGAACTGGTTATTTCCAAACCTAATGATGACTTTGCTAATCCTCCGCCTGGCTTTTACACCTTTTTCATCGACCAAGTGTTGTTCGGCCTTTGTTTTCCCATTCAACCCGAACTTCGTGCTATTAGCGATCTGTACGATGTACCCATAAATCAGTTTTCTCCCAATGCGATTCGCATTATGATCGCCTTCATTGTTGTATCCTGAATAAACTTAGATATTTCTCTCCAGAGTTCCTTTTTTACTATTATAGCTACCGATTCATAAAAGACGCCCATTGCTTGAGTCGTCGCGCTGGTGTCACCTTTCTCGATGACTTTTCCTCCAATGTCACTAAGTGGAAATCAAAGTTAGTTTTTTTTCGACCTGCTTCTGGTACATATCCATACCCGAATACTTGGATTACCTCCAAGGTTAAACAAAATAAGCCCGGTGCCCCAAATTCGAGTCAATGCTGGTCGAGCTCAATAAGAATACTTACAAAGCTCGCCCGCTGATCAAAGAAATGTCCCACCTTAATCACGTCGGCCTTGTTGTCGACGAGGATCTTCCTCGTCTCGACGACCCTCGTAAGTGATTTTCATGCTTTCACTATTTCGAGTCTTTATGCTGATGTCTGATACTTGATACTTGTTCGTAGATTCCGTTCTTGCTCGATTTGAGAAGTCGAAAAGCGATGGGAAATCCGCTACTCGTCCTATCCCTCCGACCACCACTCTTATAGACCGACCACCACTCGCTTAACTCCGCCGTCGCACCTGCCTCGCTTAACATGAAACGTGAATTTCAGGTGGGGATGAGCACAGTTGGAAAAAGTAGTGCTCACCACTATGCAGTAAACATTATTCATAATAAAGAACCACTGATCAATAATCAATAAGGTATGGTCTCAGCATGTATACGAATCAATTCATTATCGCATCTCCTAACCCAGAGTCAACTCTCATGTGCACACTTACGCATAGACTACTGCTGATACTCGATTCGAATGCCAAAACCTACGCCTTGGTCTTACAATGATGCCCAGCCAGTAGGAGTAATCCACCCCACCCGGCCAAGACCTACGAATTGGTCTTACAAAGCGGAGATCACCAGCCGTGGCCTATGCCCCGGTCTAACAGCCATACATAACATAATATAAAGGAGACTACCCATCGGGTACGTTCTATAGCTACGGGGATAACCGTTCGACGGCTGGTACAGCTCACATCGAAGGCTACATGGTTCACATGCATACTTTGTTCATACCATAATAAAACCGTAATAATATTTAAGGCATAGCAATTATTCGAATTAAACCCACAAATTATACGTTTATAACATTTACAGCATAGCAAATTTTAGAATAACAACCCACCTGGTCGCAAATAGGAGATAATCACGAAAGCACGATTAGGCTGCGAGCTCGACTCGTCAAACACCAACATTAAGTTCAGATGCTATAATCAACATCTATTCTGACTTAGATGGAAAATCACAATCATACTTAGTCGAACTTGAGTCAACTAAGTTGTTCGTGATGTCCTGTGGACGTTGGAACACTTAGACTTGACCTCTAGACTCAACCAATTACACATGGAAGTTCACATAATCCAAGGCACAGATCGACAAAGCCAAACATTCAAGGAAACAGAAAACGAGATGGTTCACAATTTTTATTTCCAAAAGCTATGTATCCAAAATACTAGATTTAAACCACAAAAATAAGTTGACCAGGTTATGATTCGAATTTAACTCTAAAATTTTAACCAAAATTTCACCTTCCAGAGTTAAGCAAATACACAAACTTTCAGCTTCAAATCCCAAGTACACTATTTTACAAAATACCCACAAGATATCAGCAAAATCGAGCCATGAATTTATACTCAAGCTTAATGAATGATTCAGGACTTGAAAATTTTACACAACCTACTACAGCATGATATAAACAACATATAAAACCTCAACCCTTAACATTAACTGCTGCTATTTTTAAAAATTCAAACGAGATTCAGCAGTTTATCAAATTTAAATTAAAATCGAACCAAAATGAACTTAAAAATTTTTCATATTTTAACAGCCTGAATAATTACATAAAATAAGTATCTCAGTAAAGTTTCAGAATTTTTCATCCAACAATTTTCATCCAACAACCGATTTATAAAAATTCAAACAACTTTCAGCAGATTCAATAAATAAATTATTAACCATATCAAATTAAGTCCAAAAATTCTAAAACTTTTACACATCATATAATTATCATAGAGACATGACATACTCAAATTTCAGCTCATTTGGTTCACGATTGAATTTATTATGCAATTAACACTATTCTGATCAGATTTTATGATAATTATTAAAAATAGCTACAGGCTTCTAAATTTCACAAAATTTTTACACAAGGCTAGTATGAATGAGAACATCACCCTAAAAATTTCAAGTCGTTTCGAACAGCGAGCCATTTTTACAAATTTAAATAGTAAAACAGCGACAATAAAGCTCGACAATTTGACAATTAATCCGAAACACGAAAATTCTCGCCCGAGGCCTTCCCATAAGACCAAGGGCTCGACATTGTTCCAATATCCACTGACTTACACGAGTTTCGACGTCTCGCTCGATTCTTTTAAAAATCGAAGAGATCCCGAATACATAAACTGATAAACAACACATGAAATCATAACCTCACGAAATATCGCAACGAACAAATTATCGCACAAACATTAAATTGCAACGAGCACTTCACAACAATAAACACATAACGCAATAAAATATATACAAGTTAAGCGAGACGGGATCGACTAGGTACCGTCCTCGGGAAATAAACGTTCGAACGAAACGAAAGTGAACGAACGGCACGCGAAGTCGGCTCGAGGCTCGACGACAAGCTTCGTCTCGCGGAAAGGAAGTGCAGCGGAGACTCGATCGTTGGAAGCGGTTGCTTGAACGCCGGAGATGGCCGGCGAGTTGCTGCTCGAAGAGAGGAGGAGGGTCGTCGGGGCTTGCAACGGCTTGCTCGGAATTCGCAGGAAGTGGTCGTGGTCGCAGCTGGGGCCTGCTCGCGAACTGGAGGTCGCCGAACTCGCCGGGAGGTATTTGCAGAGGACGGAAGAGGGCGTGCCTGGTTGCCGGAAGTCGCTGGCGGCTTTGGAGGTTCGCCAGTGATGTTGAGATTTGCAGCGACGTCAGGAGTTGACCGTCGGATTCCTTGCTGGTCGTGGCAGAGAGGCAGCGACTGATTGTCGGAGTTGCTGCGATAGCGAGATGGGGGTGATGACGAGGCGCTCATATTTGCAGAGAGGAGGAAGACGATGGTGGTGACGGGATGAATCAGATTTTTGCAAGGGGAAGAAAAGTGACGGCTTCTGCGGGAACGAGATGATAGATTTTGGGAGAAAAGCTGCGTGTAGTTTGCTATGGAGATAGAGGCGCGATCGATTAATTGGATTAGGTTTTTCTATTCTTTCTCCACAAGACAACCCACATGCACGGGTTTGGGGCAGGAAAACGGGTTGGGCCGGTTCGGTTCAGCTGGGCCGGGCTCAAGGGTTTGGACGAATGCGAAGACTCGAGCTTGATAAATTAATCGGATGATATATATATATTTATAATACACACAATTTAATTTCTAAAAATAATAATATTAATAAAATACAAATACACATTCTATTTAAATAATTACACTTAGACAAATAAGCAAATAATCACAAATTGGCAATTAAATAATATTTAAACAGTTAGACATTTAATCGAAATTTGGCAAATAAATCATTTTTGACATTTAAATAACATTTAGCATTCAAATAATAATAATAATCACAACAAATAAAGATAAATAATAATAATAATAATAATAATAATAATAATAATAATAATAATAATAATAATAATAATAATTAATTAGTTAATCCTCAAAATTCTATAATTCAAACGGGGCATTACAATCCATCCTCCTTAAAATATTTCCGTCCTCGGAAATACGAAAGAACACACATCACATATAACGATAGACTCAAATGGGAATTTCCAATCACGAGGTCCGACATCACTCTCCAGAACTCGATTTCGTTCCCATGAGTCCTATCGCCTTATACTCGAAAGATATATACTCACATTAGGAACCAATCCGACTCCCCCATGCTCATATGTTTACCTTCTTGCTTGGGAGGGTGATCAGTCCTGCCCGAGCTCAGGCGTACATCTTCTTGCAAGGGACCCAGTTCAGTTTAGCTTATACTCATGAGTATCAACGACTTGCTTCGTACCTAACAGCACACAAGACCTCAACAGGTCGTTAGGTGTATTGTCAGCGTACTCCGATTACCTTATCATCAAGGTGGACACGTGACGCCAAGTTTCGTCTCGTATTCGAGTCACACTGATAACTTGCTCACGATTCCATCACAGACCGGTGATGGCGGCTGCAGTTCGTATGCGAGTCAACGGTCGGCCGCGCGCAAGCCTTACGTCTCTCAGCACGGTCGTGCGTGCTCGGCCACCACTTCACGTGGTTACACCGAGCCAGAGTCGGGGTTTGGTCAAGGTTTCCAAAAGAACAAGATTTAGAACAAGGACGGGTCTGCACTACGCGATGTGCTTGCTTCTGACTCGACTATCCTCCTTAAAAGATTTCTGCATAATCTTTTAAGGTGGAAAAATACTCCATCTTCTTATCGAACCAAATTGTGCTGGCTTCAGCTCTTGTGTGTTGGTCTCGATGCCGAGCGCGAACAATTATTGTCCCCCTCGAGGTTAGGTTATTCACAAAGTGGCGATAGAAAAATTTTGCCTTCGAGTCTCCCTGATATTTTAGCGATGACATTCGAACGAGACTTTCATACTTCGCAAGAGAATAAAGATAAGCAGAAACAAAGAGATGCTTAATCTCACTTGAAACCAGGTTTCCAAAAAAAAGTCAATTCCCAACCTAGGATAAACCAGAATTAGCTAAACTTCAAGAGAAGTGAGTTTTAAAGTTGGGAAGTTTAAAATAGTTTACACAACGAATTAAAAGTAGTGGGAGATCAAGCGAAATCCTCAAATTACGAAATTCGGTTAACAAAAAGAAGCCTCAATCACACTTCAAAATTGTTGCCGTGTGGATGGGAAAAAGGTTTGCAAGAGTATACAAGAGGACAAGAATTTAAGAAAGGCAGCATGACTGCTTCGTCTTCACGAATCCACGATTCACTATTTTCATCATCGGTTCAAACTGCTCCCTTCGTTTAAGCCTTCTCCTTTCGAGATGGCTCGCGAATGGTCCTCATCCGAAGACACCAAAAGTACATCGAGAGGACTGTTATACACAGAACTCAGGTCGACAACATAATATCGAATTTCTAAACAAACAAAACCTCAAGTTAGAATTTAACTCTATATCGTTAGAGTTCAAGTTCATATAGCTAAGGTTCGCCACTCATCTAGAGTTCCAGAACGTTTAAAAGTAGGAGGATAAATTCCTAAGCCCCGATTTACATATCGTATCATTTCATTTCAATAATCAGGCAATCATAATCCATTCACACTCACTCATTAATCTCAAACCTGAGCTGGCGAGGCACGACGGAAGCGAGTGGTCATATACCACATCATAGTATGCCAGTATTTCACAGAGTTCACATTATTCACACATACCAGTCTACAGAAATGCAGACTAGCTCTGATACCAAACTGTAACACCCCACTTTTATTTGCTAAAAATCAGAATAAATTTTTCAAATTTATTTCAAATACTTGAGGCGCTACTCATTTTTCAAAACAAACTTCAATACTTATCCAATTTTTCAATACTTAATCAGTCATCACTATCAATCATCAATCATTACTCATCAATCATTAATCATCAATCATCAATAATTACTATCTCCCAAACGGGTTTTTCCAAAAAACATAAGCCATTACCCAAACCGGGTTTCAATAAAATTCATAAGTTCTAAGGAGCATCTCCTTATCATTATTCAATCATAAAATCTGGAATTCATAAAAGCAATATTATTCCAAATTCATAAATGCGGAAGCATAAACAATAATAGGACCAGTCTTATAGACCGACCACCACTCGCTTAACTCCAACGTCGCACCTGCCTCGCTTAACCTGAAACGTGAATTTCAGGTGGGGATGAGCACAGTTGGAAAAAGTAGTGCTCACCACTATGCAGTAAACATTATTCATAATAAAGAACCACTGATCAATAATCAATAAGGTATGGTCTCAGCATGTATACGAATCAATTCATTATCCCATCTCCTAACCCAGAGTCAACTCTCATGTGCACACCTACGCATAGACTACTGCTGATACTCGATTCGAATGTCAAAACCTACGCCTTGGTCTTACAACGATGCCCAGCCAGAAGGAGTAATCCACCCCACCCGGCTAAGACCTACGAATTGGTCTTACAAAGCGGAGATCACCAGCCGTGGCCTACGCCCCGGTATTACGGCCATAAATAACATAATATAAAGGAGACTACCCATCGGGTACGTTCTATAGCTACGTGGATTACCGTTCGACGGCCGGTACAGCTCACATCAAAGGTTACATGGTTCACATGCATACTTTGTTCATACCATAATAAAACAGTAATAATATTTAAGGCATAGCAATTTTTCGAATTAAACCCACAAATTATACGTTTATAACATTTACAGCATAGCAAATTTTAAAATAACAACCCACCTGGTCGCAAATAGGAGATAATCACGAAAGCACGATTAGGCTGCGAGCTCAGCTCGTCAAACACCTACATTAAGTTCAGATGCTATAATCAACATCTATTCTGACTTAGACGGAAAATCACAATCATACTTAGTCGAACTTGATTCAACTAAGTTGTTCGTGAAGTCCTGTGGACGTTGGAACACTTAGACTTGACCTCTAGACTCAACCAATTACACATGGAAGTTCACATAATCCGAGGCACAGATCGACAAAGCCAAACACTCAAGGAAACAGAAAACGAGATGGTTCACAGTTTTTATTTCCAAAAGCTATGTATCCAAAATACTAGATTTAAACCACAAAAATAAGTTGACCAGGTTATGATTCGAATTTAACCCTGGATTTTTAACCAAAATTTCACCTTCTAGAGTTAAGCAAATACACAAATTTTCAGCTTCAAATCCCAAGTACACTATTTTACAAAATTCCCACAAGTATCAGCAAAATCGAGCCATGAATTTATACTCAAGCTTAATGAATGATTCAGGACTTGAAAATTTTATACAACCTACTACAGCATGATATAAACAACATATAAAAACCTCAACCCTTAACATTAACTGTTGCTATTTTTAAAAATTCAAACGAGATTCCGCAGTTTATCAAATTTAAATTAAAATCGAACCAAAATGAACTTAAAAAATTTTCATATTTTAACAGCCTGAATAATTACATAAAATAAGCATCTCAGTAAAGTTTCAGAATTTTTCATCCTACAATTTTAATCCAACAACCGATTTATGAAAATTCAAACAACTTTCAGCAGATTCCATAAATAAATTATTAACCATATCAAATTAAGTCCAAAAATTCTAAAACTTTTACACAACATATAAATATCATAGAGACATGACATACTCAAATTTCAGCTCATTTGGTTCACGATTGAATTTATTATGCAATTAACACTATTCTGATTAGATTTTATGATAATTATTAAATATAGCTACAGGCTTCTAAAATTCACAAAATTTTTACACAAGGCTAGTATTGAATGAGAACATCACCCTAAAATTTCAAGTCGTTTCGAACAGCGAGCCACTTTTAAAAATTCAAATAGTAAAACAGCGACAATAAAGCTTGACAATTTGACAATTAATCCGAAACACGAAAATTCTCGCCCGAGGCCTTCCCATAAGACCAAGGGCTCGACATTGTTCCAATATCCACTGACTTACACGAGTTTCGAGGTCTAGCTCGATTCTTTTAAAAATCAAAGAGATCCCGAATACATAAACAACACATGAAATCATAACCTCACGAAATATCGCAACGAACAAATTATCGCACAAACATTAAATTGCAATGAGCACTTCACAACAATAAACACATAACGCAATAAAATATATACGAGTTAAACGAGACGGGATCGACTAGGTACCGTCCTCGGGAAATAAACGTTTGAACGAAACGAAAGTGAACGAACGGCACGCGAAGTCGGCTCGAGGCTCGACGCAAGCTTCGTCTCGCGGAAAGGAAGTGCAGCGGAGACTCGATCATTGGAAGCGGTTGCTTGAACACCGGAGATGGCCGGCGAGTTGCTGCTCGAAGAGAGGAGGAGGGTCGTCGGTGCTTGCAGCGGCTTGCTCGGAATTCG